AGGCTGATTAATACTTCTGCGTAGAGTGAATGGCGTGGCCCACGGTGCATGCCTTTCGAGTCGTCGTGCACTTCTGTGTACTGTTTGGGTTTCTCAGCAATAACACTTCTAAAATGAAGCAGTAGCAGAAGTATAGCAGAAGCAGAAGTATAAATCAGCCTTTAGCCTGCAGCAGCTAAAAGTCTATACCAGGTCCAGATGCAACCAAATAAATGCTTCAAATCCATTTATCCTTCATGTCAGAAGTAGCATGAGCACTTAGAATATATTATAATTGGAGCAGGGCATCCCTTTACAGCTGTAGACTTGTCACATTCATTGTAAACAGTCATGCAGTATTGTACTGCTTGTGTGTGATGTATACAAGGTTTAATTAGAACTTCCCTGCAGAACAGAGTTTGTAATCAAACAGACAAAATTCAACAATTCAAAGTGTGATCATCACCATTGCTAAATAAGGTTCACAGTGTGAAATGCCTTTGCCCAAATGTCACACCATTCTGCCTGAGTGAGTGTGTATTTATTAGATTTGGCTCAGTCTCTCAGCTCTGGTTTTACAGAGGTCTCTTGAAAGGACAGGAGACAAGAGTTTAAGCCAGTGTAGTCCTGTTTACATCAAATAAAAAGTGACTTATCTGTCTCCTTCAACAGGTTTGTGCTTGTGTTATATAACCCTATAGGCCTTTGGCCAAACCTTCACCCGTTCAGAGACAGATTAGAGATCAGGCCTATAGTCGTGTGGCTGCACCTATCTTCTGTATGATATTCTGGCTGGAGAAGAACCAGCTTGGGATTCGCACGAGCCATGAGTCTACTGTTGGTTTTTGTGAATGGATGTCTGTAGGATCTACTGACAATATACACATCCAGAATCAAAAGCAAAAACACAAAGTAATCGAGCCTTGCATATGCACCTGTCTATATTGAGGATAGGCAAATGCAGCTAAAGTGTTTTAAAGTTAGTCAGTGCACTGAACAGTCATTTACATTATCACCCGTTGGCTATTTCCAGTCGTGCGACTACAATCTACTTAAACGGATGAAGGCTGAATCTACAAAACTGTTGGCTAATCTTGTTGAGGTACCAAATAAAATCACTAATGAGACCTGACAGGAAGCATACTACGCAGCTTATTTTCTTGATGTTTTAATGTATGACACGACAATACTAAACATCTGTTGATTCCTTTCTATAAACAACTGTTGCCAACAAGATGCAAACAAAGTTAATTTATTTTATTGGTGGCTTGGTGATCAGAACGTTTGAAAGCATTTAAGGTCTTCAGGTTTGAAGGTCAGAAGTTTGAACACTTAAAAATTAAAGATTTTAAAGGGCCATGAAACCCCCTCGTTTCAGCAGGGTGCTTTCACACCTCTACTTTGGAAAAAGTCAGAAAAGTGGGCGTATCCAGCTCTGTTTAGGAGGGAGTGTCGGAGGAACTAAAGAGGGATGGTGTGGGAGTGTATTTGGGCACGCGCTGAGTTTCAAAACACACACACACACACAGGGGAGAAAGTGACTGTGTTTACATGGATATCTGTAGTCAAATTATTTGCCAAATTATTAAATGGTGGACTTTAACTGCAGTTTGGCTCTTTCATTCAGGGAATTCATTTATGCCCCTCACGACAAACAAGATATTTGATTTGAGGAACTGCTCTAAGCGTGTATTTTTCATGCAATGTTTGATACCGCACGGCGAATTAGAGAAAAAAACCTTCCGCATTTCCCGAAAACTTAGATGCACATGGCAGGTAGTTTCAGAAAGTGTTAATCCGGTCACAAAATGCGGTGAAAATCCTACACGAGGTTAAATTTTGGTTGTGGTGCTAACATGTTTACACTCACAAACTGAATAAACTAAGAGCACTGGTCGCTCACCAAATCTGTAGAGACAGGACAATCACCAGCAACTGAGCCGCGTCTTTATTAAGAGAAGACTACAAGCGAATCCGGATCTCAGCGTTTGCAGATAAGAACAGCTCTCAGGTAAACAATGTTCCTCCTTAGACACGTAAGTTATTGTTGTCGACCGTCGCGTACACTGTTAATCCACAAGTGACTCCAGCTGCGCTCTCACAGAGAGAAAATGAAAGCAAAACTTAACTGCAGCAAACTATAAAAGCAACACTTCACGCTTGTTTTGGTGTCTCTGTCGTCTAAACACTGTGACAGTTATGAATATTAATGAAGTTGCACAATAGAGCGCGCTGATTGGTTTAAACCAAGCCTTACTCATGCATTAATGCAGCACACTCTGAGACGTAATAAGGCACACTCTGGTACAGACGTCCAGTCTGCACGCTGGAATACACGCTATTATGACCGTGATGCAGCTTCAAAAATTCGTTTCAAACCGGATGCACGAATTTGCTTGAAATGATGCAAAACAACCAGTTTACACTTTTTAGTGAAATATAGGTGTCCTAATAGTGTTTTTAGCAGTGTGGGACACATATACGACTGTCAACAGCTCAAAAAATGTGTTTTGGTGTTTCGTGACCCTTTAAGGTCAAGCCATTATTAGAAAGATTTGTAACATGTTTTATAATGTTGATGTGATAGTTTGATAAAATGGCTAACATTTGTTTAAACAAGCTTTTAGGATGTTTTATAAACCAGCAAGTTTCGCACATTATGATTTAGTGTGTTAGTGTGCATATTTTTATTCTTTTTTTAATTTTATGCTAGTGAGAGATCAAAGTTTTTAACATATTTTATTATTTAAATATCTAGAAAAACATTTAACCTATTGCTTTAAAACAATAACTTTTCTTTAAAACTCTTATAGAAAAACCAGTTTGAAGATCACGTCAACATTGGCTGAAAAAAAAAAAAAAAATTCTAGCATAAGTTAAATTAAATTCTAAATGTTCACTCCCTGTAGAATGCAGTACCTGCCTCCTTCCCAAAGAAGACAAAATATAATGCTCATAATAATACACATAATGTCTCTTTATGTTGTCTGCAGATTTCTCATGAGCCTGAAGTACAACATATCATGTCAGTGAATCAAATACATTCTTTGCTAATAAGAATCAGCTTAGGAGTTCTTCTATGCGAGTCAGTTATATTGAGTTTCTTTTCACTGCCTGCATCTGATAAGCTTGGTTGAACTGTTTCATGGGTGATTTCTGTCAGCTGGATTAGCTACTTAAATTGCAGAGTGTATATTTTTTGTATTCAAGAAAAACTAGTGGGCGGCACGATTATTCATTCATTCATTTTCCTTGCAGCTTAGTCCCTTTATTAATCTGGGGTTGCCACAGCAGAATGAAACGGCAACTTATCCAGCATATGTTTTACGCAGCGGTTGCCCTTCCAGCTGCAACACATCACTGGGAAACACCTATTCATTTTGATTTACACACATACACTACAGACAATTTAGCTTACCACCTGTACTACATGTCTTTGGACTTGTGGGAGCAACCGGAGAGAACTCCACAAAAATGGGGTAAACATGTAAACTCCCCACAAACATACCAAATGCCCCATTCGAGGCTTGAACCAGCGACCTTTTTGCTGTGAGGCGACATCGCTCCCCACTGCGCCACCGCGTCACCCCAGCATGGTTATTACATCGTTATTTACAACTTTATTAACAGGCTATGCAGGTTTTGTTTACTAAAGTAGACATCATTCACGTACATCCTCCCCCTGGTACACACACTGTCAGCTCACGTGTGATTCGCGGCCTCAATTACATCATTATATGAAGACAGAAATGACATATTTGGGTGAAATATACCTTATTAATACAGTAAGTGACTTTTTCAACATCTTATTGAGATGTCCACTTTGCTGAGCAATGTGAATAAAACAATTTGAAAAGCTTGTGTGACCGCCTTTACGCTTCTCTTCAGAACTTAAAAATATAATTGGCTGAATCAGAAAAATGCTGAATTAAGATCGTGTGGGGGTCGAATCGAGATTGCAATATTTTTTCAATTATTCGTGCAGCTTTACTGTCACCTCACAGCAAAAAGGTTGCTTATTCAAGCCCCTGCAGTGTCAGGTGGCATTTCTGTGTGGCGTTGGCATGTTCCTCCCGCGTTCGCGTGGGTTTTCTCCGGTTGCCCCCACAAGTCCAAAGACATGCGCTATAGGTAAATGGGGTAGGCTAAATTGTCCGTAGTGTATGTGTGTATGTCCTGGTCCTTCAGATTTGGGGTTGAACGTTGGGCTTATGACCCACTTCGTAAAAATTACATGTTATGAAACGCCAACATGGTGTGGCTTAATATCAACTTCAATATAAACAGCCCTGGGAGTAAGAGTAAGACAGAACAACTAGTGGCTCATAAAAGCCATTTGTGCCATCAGTTGTGTTTCATTAATCGGACAGTATGTTTTTTGTATTCGCCTAACAGAACTTGTTTGGTCCTGTTGGGAGTCTTGGAATACATTGGTTGGTAGCATGCATGTTTCAGATATACAGTACTAATAAGAACAGACTGTGTCTATCTCATATGAGAAATCACATTAAATGAATTTGTTGGAATACATGTGGCATTTTATATTATTCTACCTTCTAAAAATGAAAAATCATATGGGTTTTGAAAACTAATTTGTTTTCAGAACAAATGTATTTGGGTTTTAATTGGATTACAGTCTGCATACTGTACTGAATATATTTTTTATTCACTACAAAGAATCTTCTGTATTACTCTTACTTTTTTTTCACCACTTGTGCCATCTCCCCTATGTAATATGTTTCATTTCAGGTGTATAAACAGAACTGTACTGTATGTCCATTAGAAAAAAAACACTACTAATACAGAATGTTCCTCTACTGAGTGAAAGCATGATGCACTATTAATGATTAGCCCATCACACTGTTCATCATCTCTGTGTGTCTGACTCAGTGGTCCAATGAGTCAAGAGTGTCACTAAAAGTGGGAAGAATATTAACAGCCTAATCTGACCTGCCGTGTTATAAAAAAAAAGTTATCATGTGGGTGTTGTTGTGTAACGTGGTTGTCTGTGTGTGTTTCAGCTATTATGTATGTGATGGGGGCTTTAGGGCCGGCTGCGGGGTACCTGCTTGGAGGCGTTCTCATCGGCTTCTATGTGGATCCCAAAACCATCGTCAACATTGAGCAAAGTGATCCACGCTTTGTTGGCAACTGGTAAGTGCTGTTCTTGCATTAGAATAACCTTGGTCATTCTAAACAAGGTAAACTAAATCATGGGTTATCTTGGATCATGTTTTACATGTTTCTCATAATTCACAAAGGGTTAATGTATAATCGCATTTCACAGTGTTCATTCCCAAGCTATGAGTTAACATTGTCATTTGTGGTGTCATTGATTGGATGAATCTCTTTATATAAAGGCACTAATGTTATGCATCCTCATTTATTGCAGAATACTGTAATTTTTTTCCTTGAATGGAGATTTTAAAGTAATTTCTTCTTCAGTATAATTGTCATATTTGTTGCTAAAATTTGACATATTTTCCCCTTAAAAGATGAAATGAATGCCTGTATTTTTCGGAGTATGTTTTGAAAAGCTAAGTGTGGTACTTTTTATATCTGAAAAAGTATTCTTTATAAAAGTGTGATAGAATGCATTATGTTGAAATAGTTCTGTGATATTTACATAAAATCTATATGACTTGGATAGGTCCAAAAATTCTTCAGAAATTGTAGACAAGCCTATTTAGAAACCCGGCAATTGCCCTTATAATGAAAAGCTCTGCTTTTACCTTATTTGGAAGGATTGTGAATATTAATGAGCTCTGCTCTTGTGCCTCTGCCTGAGCTCTCTATATGATTCTCTGCATGTCTGTAATGCTCACTCAATGTGATGTACTCTGAAATACACGTGCAAAATAATGAAACTTTTTATTTTATTTTATTATTATTATTTTTTTTCTTACAAAATTAATAGATGCTTTTGACTTTTGTTTCAAGTTAAGAGAGAAGTTCAATTTTGGAGCAAATGAGCTATCTGTCCATAACTGCTCCTGAGTTATTTGTTATAAACTAATATTTGAAATGTAGACTAAATTGTAATTATACCCAACAAAAGAGATATTCAGACATGTATTTAGTAGGGGTGTGACAATATGAGACACAAGATTGGGTTGATGAGAATGAGACAAGATTTTTATACATTTTTTTGGAATCCTTAACGATAAAATATATAAAGGGAAAACTTAAAAGTCTTTTATTCAACTGAAAAAAAAAATGCAAAAGTGCTAAATATTTTGCTAATATATGAATGGAAAATAGTGTTTATATATAATTAAAAATATTAGCAAAATATTTGCTAATATAGAAATATATATGAATGGACAATTTTTATTCAAATAAAAGAAAATCACAAACAGCAAAACAATTTAGGTGCTTTTTTTTAAATAAACTTGTAATAAATGTTATTTTACTTCTATTTTAATGAATTATGCCATAAATGACATGCAAACACTGCAAAATACTTAGTTATAAACTCTATTGACTGGAAAACCTCTGAGCTATTGGATGCGAGTATGGACTGATAGGAGAGAGCGGTTTTAATGGAGTTTGATACTTAATGCCAAATGAAAAGAAAACTTCTGTTTTGTTTTATTCGGATGGCATAAATGATGACTGATGACTGGTGTGTGCGTGCACTTTGAGGAGATGTGTGTGTCTGTGGTGCTTTACTGACTAGGTGCAGAGAATAGTGTCAAACTGTCGTGTGTGTATGGCTTATCCTGTCGCAAAATGTGGCAAAAAAAATTTAAATATGTTAAATAAAAAATATTACATGATGGTAATAGTTGGATTACCGAGCTTACATGTCTTTACTGCACTTCAGCAATGTGACTAAAATAATTCACTTCTTAATTTGTGTTTATGACGATTATGACTTTAAGCAAATCTAAAGTGCTATTCCGTCACATGGTTAATTTGTGTGGCTGCAGTTGTAGCAGCCTTTGCTTTTGGACACAGCAACATTTGAACTCCAACACAGAGGCAGCCAGGGTTCCCAGGTGTGTGCAGAGCAGGCCCGGCGCCAGGAAGTCAAAACTGAGGGGGCACTTTAAATCCATAGGGGGGCACTAGACCTGGTGACTGATTTTGGTCTCTTGTTTCTTTCATTTAGGCTATTTATTCACATTTATTATTACTTTGCATTACTGCCTAAGTTCCTGACCTAAGGCAGTAATATAGGCTACGTTTTAATAGTAATAACAATATGCAGTTTCGCTATTACGAATTTTATTAACGATAGTAATGCATACCGCTTATTAATGCAGACGGATCGGCTTCAGTGCCAAACGAGTGCTTTAAGTCATATGTTATTCTCCTTATTTCCGTTTTATTTCAAATAACAGACATATGAATGTTTAAAGTTTTAGGTAAAGACGTCAAATTATGCCCACACATGCAAGCTGACCCACGATCAGACTATTCGTAACCGGTAAATAAATATAGTGAAATCAGCTTAACCGAGTCATCCCGCTTCACGTAGCCTATTATCCAACCAACATCATTTTTAGGGAAAAGCAAAATGTTACAATTTAATGTCATTTAAAACAATTACTTAGTTACATTTTAAGGCATTAGTGTAGCCAGAAAAATACCTAAAAAAGATACTAAAATTCACAGTTATTACCATGAAAACTGGTTAAATTTTGGCACGGTTAACACGCAACTCAAAAACTTTTTTTTTAATCATTTTAAATGTAAAAACAAAGATTTATCTTAGGCTATCATAAGTGTGCTTTTTTCGTGATATTGTAAACCATCATAAATCATAAGGTTACTAGGCCTACCCGTCATTTTATTTATTAATTATTTTTTTTATTAAGCCTTTTTTTAATAGCTTGTTTTCAGGTTATTTTCATTTTAGGGCCCTGAGTTACAAGTCAAAACAAACTCGATATGTTGTATTTTAGCTCTTAAAATAGATCTACAATATATTTTATGTTGTTTAATTTTGCTTGAGCAAATAGTAGTATAGCCTAAATTACATATCTTTAAAAGATTTCATTCAGCCTACCTGCAGCGCACGAGGTTTCTCGGTTGATCCGCGGTAAATCCACTTAAGCACTATGCCTATTCCATTTATAACACTGCAAACTTGACTTCGCAGGCCGATCATCTTTAAACCCAAAAGGCATTTATTATGTGTTATACCTTGACTGCTGCTGCATAATGGGATGTTTCTCTACACAACTGTAAAAGTGCGCTTTTTAGCAAAATGAAAGCGAACTTTCAAGGGTTCTGCGTTTTGTCAATTTTAGCTTAATTGTAATAATATTAATAACTAAATTAAAATATTATTTATAGTTTAGCCTAATGTGGGACTGTGCAGTAAACTATTTATTTTTATTAAAACATTTTTATTAGGCTACATGATCTTCCCGAATAACTAATAAATGACTGGCAGTTGCGTCTCTGCTAAAATTAATTTAACAGTAAATTTCTTATGTGTTTTTCCTTTTAGAGCTCAAGAGAGTTGTGTTTAAATAATTAGTTAACCAAAACATGTAATGAATTAAGCTGCTCCTATCATGTCACCCACTTTTCTCCCTTGTGAGTTGAGTGCGCCTCCATCGCCATGTGCTCGTTTTAAAGGCTATTTACGGGCGCACCAGACCTGACGCGGGGACCGGATCTCTGGACTATAGGACTAGCTTTAATCTCACCATTTTCATAATTCAATTGCTATGTCATATATTTTAAAATATTTAAATGTGTGTTCTGAAGGTTGGAACGACGGGAGTGTTAATAATTAATGACAGAAAGAATTTTTAGTTTGAGTGAACAATCCCTTATGAAAACTGGGGGGGCACAAACTCTTTCTGAGGGGGCAATGCCACCCTTTGCCCCCCCCCCCCACCCCCCCCCCCCCCCCGTAGCGCCAGGCCTGGTGCAGAGCACTTGATTTGCAGTTCAAATCCAATCCTGTCTTCAATCTTCAGTGCTAAATTCAACCTCACACTCCATCATAACATCACATCTCATCAGACAACTTTTCACTTCAGTGAGGTCTCACAAGATCTTGTCACACCCCTAGTATTTATAGTTGTATTTTGTGGTTTTAACATATCTGAGGCAGAAATTTTATTTAACTCCAGAAAAAAATCATAGTTAGAGCAGAGTGATATGACTCGATGCATAAATATGCATTAAACACTTTTTCAACAGTGTACATGTGTTTGCTGCCTCATTACAAACATACATGTGTCTATTGCTGCATTAAAAACACACATGGAAGAACAAGAAAACTCACGGTATGCCATTTTGAAATACTGAACTCTAAGGTAAACTCCTAGGTAAATTCAGTTTACCTTGTATGGCCCCTTTAACTGTACATCATTTCACACTGCACATTGCAACGCGGATCAGTGGTGCAAAAAACATTAACCCTGCTCCAAAGCAGCAGTTCATAACTCAGATAAAAATAATTTAATTAATAATTAATAAATAATAATTTTAGTTAATACTGCTTTTAGTTTTAGAAGTGTCAAATGTTCTTTTACCCAGAGTTAAAAGTGGTATTTAAAATGGTGATAATCCAGGGTTGATCAAAGTGTGAAGAGCATTAGAGCATGTGTAGCTTCATTCCAACCTATGAAGCAATAACTAAAATAGCACCTTTTTTTTAATCTAACCTCAATCTTTTGAAAAAAAATGAAAGAGTAATTATTATTAACGCATAACACTGTACTTATAGGTGGAGTGGTTTCCTTCTGTGTGCTTTCGCCATGCTGTTGGTCATCTTTCCCATGTTCACATTCCCCAAAAAATTGCCCCCACGTCACAAGAAGAAGAAGAAAAAGCATGCGGCGGACAGTGCATCCAATGATGACGATGATGTCCTGAAAGAGAAATCCAACAGCAAAGGCCAGACTGTGGCTTCCTCCATGGGCTTTGGGAGAGACATCAAAGGTGCGTGTGTGTGTGATAGAGGTCATGTGATGATGCACGCGACAGGAAGCTTGCATATACATATTGAAGTGTTATCTATTTTTGTCCTCAACACATTCTGAGAAACATGAGATTAGCAGAGATTAGAGCTTCAGTCATCATATTGAGAGGCCTTTGTCCAGTGAAAATTCTTTTTTGCCCACTCATTTTGGGTGGATTGCGTGATGTAAGGCAGTGAATTATCATTTAGCTGATGCTTTTGTTCAAAGCATCTTACAGAGCAGTTATTATAAAGATTGTACTCTTGGGGTTTAGTGTCCTAAACAGAGACAAGGTTTGCAATTTTCCACTTATCAGCTGAGATATTTAACCATTAGGCTTATTTAATTAAACAGTGCTGCTGACCACCACTGTCAGGAGATTTTCAAGTGATGCTGCTGATGTGGAATTGTAGATTGATGATAAAGCTTAAAAAGTTATAAATAAAGAGCGTGTAAGAAAGCTGAAGTTGTTTTTTCATTATTCAAATGGGAAGAGCCTTAGTGACAATTCCGCCATCCTCATCACTATTAAGAGTCCACTTTACTTTAACAAACCACTTTATAACCACTTTAACAAACCCACAGTTACACTACTGCTGGGAAGCTGTTTCTGAAACTTAAAGGAATGGTTTGAAGTCAAGTGAAATTTGCTGTTAATATACACACATTCAAGCCATCCATCTGTCCATCCTCATTACTTTTTTCTTTCCAGTTGAACTCTAATGAATACTTTAAACTGCCACTTTGAAAATCATTAGGCATATATAAGCAATACATCATTTTTACCTATTGCTTTTGATGATGCATTAAGCTCTTTAATGAAGTGATGAACATTATTACAACATTATCACCTTTTAATTTTCAACAGTTCTAAACATATTCCCGACGCTAGAATGCGAGAGTGTAGTGGGAAAATGTTATTTAAAGTGATAGAAACTGATTTCTGCCTTCTAAATTAAAATGGCTTATTAAAAGATGCATTTTAAAAATAATAATAATTGAAGTCACATTCTAAATAAACTGTAAGTAATAAAGACACTATTGGGAGTAGATGTAAATGTGGATAAATGGAAATAAAGTTAAGATTGGTGAGCTTTAAATAAACAAATATAAAGTATAAAGTTTTTTTTTTTTTTTTTTTGTACAATGCATCAAACTGTCATAACAAAGATTGGTAATGACTTCAGGAAGTCTTGCCTCCTTGAAGCCGCCCACCCAACACAAAACATTGGCACCATAATCTCATTCGTTAGTGTTAGTTTTGTGCTGCAAAAATATTTGTTTGTGCTGTTTTGTTTTTTTTAGATATTAAAATTATTTGTAGGTCATTCAGCTCCCCCACGTTTCAAATTCACCCCAATTGTTCTTTTGTGCTTTGTATTGTGCTGTTTGTGTTGGTGAAAGATCTTTTTGTGCTGTTTCTGTTATTAAAATACTAAACATTGAAATGACACCATCAACCCAATCACATGCTCCAAATGTATCCAAAATAACATTGTTTGTTTGTGCTTCATTTGTGTTGGTTTGTCCTGGTAAATGTTCTATTGGTGCAGTTCTGTTATTAAAATATTACATATGAAATGTTACCCATGGGCAGTGTTACCAAAGGGTAAGTTACTTTTAAACCGTAATAGATTACAAATTAATGATTACTACTGGAAAATTGTAATCTCATTAAATTACTAATTACTTAATGTTAAAAGTAATCAAATTACTAATTACTTCAAAGTTACTTTTAAAACAAATAAAATATACCTATAAAAATACAAAATAAACTGCATCTCTTTCAGTAATTTAATATTTACTGAAAAACATGACACTTGGTTGATCACATCAGCTTGACGTATTCAAAAGACTTAAAGAGTCTCTCATTCTCAAAACACTCTCAAAATTCTCTCATCATTCACTTGTTCCAAACCCGTTTTGTCTTTTTATTTATTTATATATATATATATATATATATATATATATATTTTTTTTTTTTTTTTTTCTTCAAAAGAAGCCATGAAGAAAACTGGATACCTGTAACCACTAACATCCATAGTATTGACAAGCACTGCTGTGTTTGGGTGTTCTGTGTTTGTCAAAGGTAATTAGTCTACCAAAATGTGTATACTCCTTACAAAGTATATAGCTGATCGGACAGTTTTTGTCCACGTGATACTTGGTTTAAACTGGTGTGCCTAAGAAATGCGAGTGTGCAAAAGATGGGATGTGTGAACTGCCCCAATCAAGCATAAAAATCTAATTTTGGGCCGCCGTGTTTTTGTTCTCCTTGGTTACGAGTTTTGTCATAGCATGCTTTCTGTTCAAGTGCTTGAACAAGTTGCTGCTTAAGTTAAAAACAGTTGAAAGTTCTTAAGAGACTGGACATAGACTGCATTTCACAGCAATATTTTAGTTTTTACGCTCAATGAAATCAAAGTAATTATTAACTGACATTGCAACGGAAAACGTGATTTAAAAGAAGTATTTTTTATTCTAATAACTATATTTATAATGTAAGTAACACAATTACATTGACTTTAGTGACTGTAATCAAATTACACAAATTCAAGTGCAGTTTAACTAATTTCGAGAGGATCACGTGCTTATGATCAACATGGCTGGCACCACATTAGATCCGTAATCTGCCCAATCAGATAATTACGGACGCATTATAAATAACCAGAGCTTTTCACTCAAGTTATCTTCATTTTGAAGTTTCCCCCCTTCCACCCCTACTTTCCCCCTTTTTTTCCAATAGAGCAGGACTGCGGCCCAGTGGCTAGCACTGTCTCCACACAGCAAGAACGTAGCTGGTCCAGCCTCTTTCTGGGCTGGTCGCCATTTCTGTGCGGAGTTTGCATGTTCTCCCCATGTTCGCTAATCGACTAATTCAAATTAACATTTAAGATAAACCTGAGTATACACTTCCCACACACTGACAAGCAGGGGAGTTCTCGAGACCTACCTGAGCTCGAACACCCCTCTTGCCCTTCTAATGAGAGGGAACCCCGGGCTCGAGGATATTACGAGCTCAGGGCTCTCTCCTGGGACAGCATGACAATTACGCTTATTGATCATCAGCTAAGTGTGAACTCTTGAAAATGTAATTTGTTACATTACTGCATTCCTCAAAATGTAATCAGAATACAGAAGCTTGTTACTTTGTAACACGTTACACCCAACTTTGTCCATAGGCCACCTGACACGATCCTAATTTCAAATTCACCCTTACTAGCTAATAAGGTGAAGGAAATAGATTTTAAATTATTACACAACATTGGGGCTACGTGACCTACAAATATTATTTTATTATCTCAAAAACCAAAATGGTACAGACGAATATTTTTGTAGCACAAACTAAATTTATTACAGAATTCTAAAAAAATGCATCACAAATTTAAGGAGTTTAACTGTTTTCATCTGTTTTTAAGGAGCTTAACTGTTTTCAGCCCTGACAGTAAGAAAAATTTATTTTGCACCTAATAAACGTATTACAAGGGTTTTTTGAAGGCACACTGCAGACTGGAGTATTGAAGCTGAAAATGTAGCTTTGTCATCAAAAGAATAAATCATATTTTAAAATGTACAAAATCACACGTTTTAGTGTATTTATTTATTTAAATAAATCCAGCTTTTGTGAGAAAAATAAACTTTTAAACACATATTCAAAAAAAAAAAAACAAGCCCAAACTTTTAAACTTTTCTTATCGCAACTCTTCTGTATCTAAACTGTTGCCAATTATTATTTGCCCGGAGAGACTTTTGTCCTGCTTTGACAAATGCATACAAGTGACTACAACCCAGACAAGCCTTGTTCTATAAACCCACTGTAACCTACTTCCATTCCTCTCGGCCCGCATGTGTTCGCATAACTAGGCTTTCAACATACTGTTCTACTAGGCTTACAATGGGGTAGAGTAGTTTCTCAGACTTTTATGTGGATACAAGACAAGCTGTATTATTCATTGCTTGGTGAAGCATTTAATCTGATTGCTTTGTACTGACTCCTGTCTGTCCCAAAGAGGCTCTGAGGGATAAGAGTTCAAGATGCGGCTGCAAATTAAAGTTTGATTATAGCTGATCACCATGGAAACCGTGCAGCAGCGATAACCTGCTAATTAAGAGTTGCCTTTGTTGGCCATGATGAAGCACTTGGATAAAACCAATAGGATTAAAGGGATTAGCTAGTGAATCCAGAAGAGTTGAGGAGACACCATGTTTAGGTTTAGCTGGCCTTACCTTATTAGAACCGCAAACATCTGCTAGTATGGATTATGAATGCTTTTAGAGCTGATGGGTCATAGAAAGCGGCTCATTTCTGTGACCATAAGCATGCCATGTATACTGTATTTTTATCTTGTTAATTATGAGTGTCATACAGGGTATCCGCGGGATCTTAAAGTGTCTTAATGTCATAAATCTCAAAAACTAAATTTTAGGCCTTAAAAAGTCTTTAATTTACTGAAATATTGGGTTGTAGGTCTTAACTTTTGTAAACAGGTCTTAATTTTCCTTTGTTCATGTATAGCTACCATCTATCCAATCACCAACAATGTATCTCAATAAAAAAAAATATTTAAAAATGTAATTTTTAACTCTATTTATCATAATGGTTTAACTATTTTCCCTTAAAATAATAACAATAAAATTGGAAAACTGGACTGACAATGTTTTAGTTTACTATAATTTTCTATGTGAAGCTGCTTTGACACAATCTACATTGTAAAATCGCTATAGAAATAAAGATTAGTTGAATTGAATTTAAAAAAACAAAAACATTTGTTTAAAAGTTCTCCATGTATTTACTACTGAGGACGCTGACCTGGTCAGACTGTTGTACATGCATTTAGTTTATTATAGTTCTTAAAACCTTTAAAACCTTTTTCATTTTTTTTATTTTTAAGAAAGGGTATGCTTTAAAAAAAAAAAAGTATGTATTCTAGGGTTAGGCGATGTAGACCAATTTATCATTGTACGATGTCTAATGTGAAATATTGTGATGGACAATGGCCTCAGTCACAGGTGGCGGTGGTTGTTTTACCCATAACCAAATCATAAATAAATAAAGTTACCCACAATTTACCACGTGTCCATCACCTTTTCCACAGGACTCTGGCATGAATAGGCAGAGTGATCTCTGTCGTTATAATGGCATTGACAAACTTGGTTGGTAAAAAAGGTGCACAACCAATAAGAACCAACCAACAGTATCTACAGTATCTTTCATTACTACAAGCGTGAAAGCAAAAGATTGAAGCAGTGTACTGACACTGTGACACGTTACCTGATAGATTAAACAGTCGTTGGATAGTGACAAGATAAATGGTTCATGGTTAACAACTAAAGTGAGATGTGATACAGTGGTACATCCTTGATGAACTGTCCGATGTGCACTGCTCTCTGGGGTTTTGTCCTCAAAGCACCCGCTGACTGCCTGGAGCTCAGATGTGCGTGTATTCAGCAGTGCATGCCTGTGTGCGGAGGATCAATATTTTTCTTCTAGAAAAAGTCTTATTTGTTTTATTTTAGCTAGAATGAAAGCAGATTTACTTTTTTCAATACCAGTTCAAGGTCAATATTATTAGCCCCCTTAAACTATTTTTTTTTTCGATTGTCTACAGTACAAACCATCATTATACAATAATTTGCGTAATTACCCTAAATTGCCTAATTAATCTAGTTAAACCTTTAAATTGCCCTTTAATAGGAATACTAGTATCTTGATAAATATCTAGAAAAACATTATGTACTGACATTATTGCAAAGATAAAAGATATGTTAAAAAATCTGTTGAAAAAAAATATTTTCGTTCAGCAGAAATTGGGGGAACAAATATACAGGGGGGCTAATAATTCAAGAGGGCCAATTATTCTGACTTTAACTGTAATTATGATTTAAATCAAAGAAATATATAAATTCTGACAAAAAACTAGCCTTTGACAAATGTAATGAGAGAAAGAACTACAGTCCTGTGAAGCTGTTTGGTTAAAGTTGGAATACTCATATCGTAATTTCATTAAATTAGGTTTTATATTTCTGAGTAAAGAACATCAGAAGTAAATTTGATTCTAGTTTCATGATGTTCCCTGGCATGTTTTTCTTAGTTATCACCCAAAAGTCACATGAAATTAATCATTTAATTACAAATTATTTAAATGTAATCTATAGTCAAATTTAAAAAATTTAAGTCTATTGTTTAGTATTGCTATGTATTTAAGTCTTTATATCTTTTATCATTTATCATTTTGAGTTTTTATTAAATCTCAAGATAATCCATAGCTAGTGTATATGAGCTTATAGGTTTGTTTCTGTTTTATTGGCCAGATCTCCCCAAGGCTGCAATAAGAATCCTCAGCAACATGACCTTCCTGTTCGTGAGTCTGTCCTACACTGCCGAGAGCGCCATTGTCACTGCCTTCATCACCTTCATCCCCAAATTCATCGAGTCGCAGTTTGGAATCCCTGCCTCCAATGCCAGCATATACACAGGTACTTGATTATCACATTTCATAATAGAAATAATTAAACATCTTGTTCTATATTCCATTTTTATCACCTTAACACTTCTATATATGTGAATTTCCCATCTTGTGTTATCACACATGGTACATGATTCACACTGTGTTCGTCACGTTATACAACATGTTATAAATGACTTGTGAAAGTATGTGTGATATGCCTTTTCACAGCTGTGCCTGCTTATTTTGTTAAGGCATGTTTGATTTGCTTCTATATAAAGATGTCTAACCAAATAGTGTGTTATTGGATCTCTAGAAGCCGTAAGATCAATATCTGATGCATTTATGTTAAATAAACCCTCAATAACATCTTGTCCTCCATCTTAAACTCTGGATAATTATTGAGCTTCACATATGTCTGAATATCTCAGCGCAGATGCTCTCTCATAAGGTAACGGGAAACTGGCCAGGATCCTTAATCACAGCCCACCAGGACTGAGATGAGAGCTTGATTCAGCACGGGGTCATTGCACTTTGATCCAGTTTATTTACTGTATTCTTATAGTATTATTTACTAAAGTATTAAAATAAAAAAACTAAACTAAATTGAAATTCCAACCAACTCTGTGCCAAAGCTTATTGAGAAATATGATAAACTGTAAAATAAAAAAGTACATAATTTTTCTTATTATACTGTTTTTGTTATTCATTTGGCTCATGTCCAATTGGTGTAGATGGAGGGGACAGGGTTAATCACCAGTATTGCAGCCAGTCACTAGGGGCCAATCAAATTGTTGTGCCTTTGCTTTTTAGTGTGTGTTGTTTGACACAAAAAAACAGACCATTATTACAATTTATTTAGATATTTAGCTAAAATCATAAATTATAATTGCAGACAGATTATCAAATAATAAAGACCCATTTCCAGATAGTTCTTTGCACAATTCCTTTCACATTGAAACACTTCAACTGTAGCACATGGTAGATATTTTAGGATTTCCTCCTTATATTTATTTACATATGAATGGCTTTTCTTGTGTTGCAAACATGCTCAGTAGCTCACCTGGTACTTCATTGTTTTTCTCAATTTCACAATCGCTGAATCAAATGCAAAATCAACAAAAAGTAGAACATTTTTGCGATCCTGCATAATTCTCAATTAAACACAAAATAATCGCAAAAAAATTTAAGTAACTTCATGAAACATCCCATTTCAAACCATATAATCAAATTACATTATTTCAGTTTGCAATTTGTTTTACATGACGTGATGTATTTGAGTCTCTTTCGTAAAATGACGTCTCAAGCCTGGTTTATACTTCTGCGTCAAGTGACCGGCGTGACCCACGGCGCATGCAACGAGCGTAGCTGTGCATTTATACTTCTGCGCGCTGTCTCTGTCGGTCTGCATTAACACTTCCAAAACGCTATTGGGCAGTGAGGTGTAAAGGCTGATTTATACTTCTGCGTCAAACACCGGCGTAGGCTACGGCGCTGACGCATAGCCCTTCGCCGTGGCCATCGCCGTCACTGACGTGCACCTCTCAAAAATTGTAACTACACGTCGCAACAACGCGTAGCGCAAGCTCTGTGATTGGTCGGCTTGCTAGCGCCGACGAGTCTGGGCGGGACCGAAAGCCTGCGCGAATGGCGCGAGCGATTGTTTACAAGTGTGGAGTCCCGTGAAGCTCCGGATGGAAAGTTTTGTTCTTTGTTTACCTCATGGTTAAAGTTGTTGCACGTCTGCCGGTTCCTGCCTCAAAATGAGCGAGTTTGAGTCACTTGTACATCCAGGAAGTGTTTAGAATAGCAAAAAGAAGCGAAGAAACTCGACACAGAGGAACATTTACACCTCACTGCCCACTAGCGTTTCGGAAGTGTTAATGCAGACCAACGGAGACAGCGCGCAGAAGTATAAATGCACAGCTGCGCGCGATGTCTGCGCCGTGAGTTGCGCCGGTCACTTGACGCAGAAGTATAAACCAGGCTTAAATGTTCCTCTGTGTCGAGTTTCTTCTCTGCTGTTTTGCCTTTCCTGAACACTTCCTGGATGTACAAGTGTCTCAAACTCGCTCAGTTTGAGGCAGGAACCAGCGGACGTGCAACAACTTTAACTATGAGGTAAACACAAAACAAAACTTTTCATCAGGAGCTCCTTCACGGGACTTCACACTTGTAAACAATCGCTCCATTGAGCTCGCGTCCAGCTCGCGCCATTCGCACGGCTCTCTGTCCCGCCCAGACTAGTCAGCGCTACCAAGCCGACCAATCACAGAGTTTGCGCTACACGTCGTTGCGACGTGTAGTTACAATTTTTGAGAGGGGCACGTCAGCGACGGCCACGGCGAAGGGCTATGCGTCAGCGCCGTAGCATACGCCGGCGTTTGACGCAGAAGTATAAATCAGCCTTCACCTGCGCCTCACAATCATTACATTACACAGAAGGGGGGCTGAATTGTTTTGCAGCCTGTGCAGTAAGCAGATGTGGATGAAGTGCTGGTGATTTAAACGTGAACTCAATGCAAAGATGGCATCCTGTGGTGCAAATCGGGTATTTTGTGCGTTTGACGCGCTTCAGATTGCAAAAGAAAAAGTGAGAAACATCTAAATGGAGCAACGGGACAGACAGAACAGCAAGCAGGTTACAATGATGGGAATTAGTTCAAGGATGATAGCCACTGGACGTGATCAACAGGACGTGATCAACAGGACATTATTTGTGCTATACATGTATGACTGGTATTATGGTGTGCGTAAAATTGATTAATGTTTTCGTTTAACTCTTTCGTGCAGTTAATGAGAGAAAACGCTTCCCTGCCACTGACAAGTTCTAAGTTTTAGGTGTATTACTTTAGGGGAAGCCCTAACACATGTGCTGAATGAGGTATATGTCAGATACTCTGGGGAGTGAAATCTAAGAGAAACTAAGATTGTGGATAAAAATAAGGAGTTATACAACCTTCCTTTGGCTTAATTCTACTGTTTTAAATCTGTTTTAGATCTTGTCTTGACAAGAAACCAAAATAAAGAAGCTTTGTTTTTATGATTTTTGTCATTGTCACTAACTATGTTTTCATCCAAAAATACGAATAAACTTGGTTATCGCTGAAAAAAAAAAGGATTATTGCATAAAAATTGTGCGAATAAAGCAGCGCTTCCATTCTAAGAGTCAAAGCAAAAAAATAGTCACTTCCTGATTAACTGGTGCCAAATATCAACAGTAAAAGTTGAATTTGCTGCAGTAGGAGAAGCTGTGTCAATCTTTTTTTTCATTAAAAAAATGACTTGCACCTCAGAAGGCAGTCCTGACACGCAGTGAATGCACTGTGGCATTTCAAATTGTTATACACGGAGCACAGGCGCTCTTGATTCTGGAGGTCATTAATAATATAATAAAACTACTATTTAAATGGTAAGGCATTTTAAAATGACCGAAACATTTCAGATGTTTTACAGTGTGCTCAACCTGCTGGTTTGTCCATTTACACATATTTTTATCATCATATGATCAATTAATAACAAAATCATTTTTTTTATGTGCATACTTGAATTTGTTTTGTAAAAGTGTTTCCCTCGCAGTTTATGCACATCTTTTCTCATGAAATAAAAAGTTTATACTACTCACTTATGCGCATTTTCAAAATGTATGCACATCATGGCGTTTCCATCAACTGTTTTTTTACACGCATATCCAAAATGCATATAAAAAAAGGTGGATGAAAACGTAGCTACTGTGTCACGTTGGTTTGCACACCTAACATAGTAGGTTAACTAATAAAGTACATGACGGTAATAGTGTATGTATGCGTGTATATATATATATGTATATATATATATATATATATATATATTAGTGGTGGGCCGTTATTGCCGTTAACGTGCTGCGTTAACACGAGACTTTTATTCTGCGATTAATAAAAAAAATATTGGCATTAATCTATTCTCAAAATCGGGCTGGGAGATGGATCTTTTCTATGCAACCTATGATGACTTTCACCTTGATTTTTTTAGCTCGACTGTAAACTTGACCGGTGAGCCGTCTGACAAAAGACTGACTTTAACTGCAGTTCCCCTTCGGGGGGAACTCCAGCACTATAAGTGGATTTGATTGTAAAATCCACGCATTGGGAGGTTCGGTTCAGAAGCTACTCGTCTGAAAGAGTATTGAACGGGCCAATTAAGAATGAATTGGCAGCGCAAGCCTGCGCAGGTGAGCGGCATAAGCAATCAACTGAGTATATAAGCTCACCTGGCGCCAGCAGACGCTATCCTTTTCGCTTCAGAGACTTTCTGATCGAGTCGATGAGGGTTCCTCCTGCTGTGACCAGCGATTCTGAGCGAACGAGAGCATTCTCCCGGTCCAGAGTGTGTACACGCAGCGGCAGACGGTCGAGCTGGGTTTCTCCCTTGCCTGGCGTTCTTTGGGTCCGGTCCTCCAGAGCGGTGCGTATAAAGTTGCAAACTTCACAGAGAGAGCAACACAGTCGTGCAGCACGTCCTTTTCAGGACGGCGCTCCGACTGTGCGTTTCTGGATGCGGTGGTTTCCTGTCCTCGGATGATGGGCACGAGCACTGCGTTGCATGTCTGGGGGGTCCAGCATGTTAATGCGCTGCTCGCGGACAGTTCATGTCGTCATTGCGATGCCATGACTGTTGCGCAGTAAAGATCGCGGCTAGCCTTTGCAAAAGGGCGAACCACCCCAGTTGTCCCCTGCTCTGCAGCGGGCACTCGGGCAGATCTGAGGGTCTCAGCGAGAGATAATCCGTCGCCCATGGGCCCGCGGACCTCCCGCTCCTCTAAGCGCTCCATCCAAGCTTCGGGCGGGGGAAGCGATCCGTCTAACAGATGGTAGCCCTTACGCCCGATGACACCGGAGACCAGACGTCCACCGCGGCGTCGGAGGGTGGGCTTTCATTGTCCGATGATATCTAGACCCGCTCGCCCCCTTCGGGCTGGTGAGCGCTGTCACTACGGATCCTGAAACGGACATGTTAGCCGTGCTTTCCCGGGCTGCTTCGGCCGTGGGTTGG